ATGTGACCATATTTGGAAATAAGGTCATTGGAAATACAGTTGGTGAAGTTAAGGTGAGATCACACTGGAGTAGGGTGGATTCCTAATTCAATACGACTGATGTCCTTTTAAAAGGGGAGATTTGGACATAGACATGCACACGGAAGAAATGCTACATGAAGATGAAGGCAGAGATCAGGTGATACTCTACAAGCCAATAACTCCAAAGGTTACCAGCAAACCACCAGAAGCTAGGGCAGAAGCGTGGAGCAGATTCTTGCTCACAGACCTCGGAAGGAACCAACCCTGTTGACACCTTGATTTTGAACTTCTAGCTCCAGAACTGTGAGACAATAAATTTCTATTGTTCAGAGGCCTGGTTTGTGGTACTTTATTATGAGAGCTCCAGCAAACTAATATAGTTGGGTTCCAAACATCTGTGCCTTTCTGTTGGGTCATGTAGTCTAGATGGGCAGAGTCTCTAGCTGCTCTTGAGCCCACCCACCTGGCTAGACTGCCTGGCACCAACCTTTATCGGAGTTTGGATTGAGACTGTGGAGGCACCTCTGACAACATGTCTAGTGTGGTTTCCCCACCTGAAACCTCACCTTCCCCTGCTTGACGAGCTCCCCACCTGTCTTGGTTTCTGAGAAATCCACATTGCCCCCATGCTTTGAGTTAGCAGGCCATGTGTTATTCATTCATTTACTGGAAAAAAAAACCTTACTGAGTGCCTTCTCTGTTCCTACTAATCTTTCATGGAGTTTACAGTCTAGCAGAGGAACGTGGTGTTAAGAAAATTATTACACCTAGAATTATGAGAAGTAGATTCAAAATGCTTGTCTTAGGACCCTACCAAAATTGAGACTGATTCTCGTCTTTATTTTAAGGCTTACTTTGACAGTTTTTAAAATAAACAATAAGATATTTTGAAACATCAGAAGACAGAAGCCAAAGAAATAGTGAATGGTTTTCCTGACTCTGCATTCAAGGCAATGATAAACAGAATCTGGCAATTATCTGTACAGTTCTCAAATTTAGCAAAACTATAAACCTGTATAAGAAGCTACTGAAACCAATGCAGAATAAACCCAAAGAAAACTATACCAAGGCAGGCCGTAAATTAGCATAAATTCAGCAAAGCATCCTGAAAATTAGTGATAAAGATAAAATCTTAAAAGCAGTCAGAAACAAGACACATTGCATAGAGGGAGTAAATAGGTAAGACTGCAGAATTCTCATCAGAAACAACACAAACAAAGAAGATGAAGTGTGGAAACAAAACAATCAACAAACAAATAAACTTGCTAACCTAGAATTCTATAACCAGCAAAAAGATCCTTCAAAAATTAAATTGAATTAGACATATTTAATGAAGTTAAGATTGAGAGAATGTATTGCCAGAAAATGTGCATGACAATAATTTTAAAGGATGTTCTTTAGGCAGAAGGAAAACAATATAAGATGTGTTGAAAAAGGTAATATGCATATAAATATAAAAGACTTTTCATTTTTTAAGCTTTTAAAGAATATAATTAACTATTTAGGACAAATATAACAACTTATTGAGGGATTAGAACAATGTCAAAGTAAAATAAACGACAACATTGCACAAAGGATGAGAGTGGAGGAAAATGGAAGTAGAAGGTTTATAAGATACTTTCATTATGTGTGAAGTGGAATAATATTATTTGAGTAAAGATATGCATTTTAAACTTGAGAGCAACCAAATAAACAAAGCAACAAACAAAGAAGTAATATAGCAAGCTGATAAGCCAATTGGTTGTTATGTGCCATCAAGTCAGCTCTGACTCCTGGTAGCCATGTGAATGAGTGATGTCCACAATGTCCAGTCCTCAGCAGCCCCACTCAGCTCCTATAGACTCATGCCTATGGCTGCCTTTATGGAATCAATCCATTTCATATTTGGTCTTCCTCTTTTCCTGCTGCCTTCTACTTTTCCCAGCATTACTGTCTTTTCCAAACAATCCAGCCTTCTCATGATGTGGCCAAAGTAGGACAGCCTCAGTTGCATCATTTTCCCTCCAGCGATAGTTCAGGCGTAATTTGCTCTAGCACCCACACGTTCACCTTTCTGGCAGCCCAGGGTATCCACAGAGCTCTCCTCCAGCACCATATCTCAAATGAGTCCATTTTTTTCCTGTCAGCCTTCACCATGCAGCTTTTGCACCTGTACACAGTAATTGGGATTACGAGGGTGTGGATAATCTTGGCCTTGGCCTCTAATGACACTTCCTTATGCTTGATTGTCTGTCCCAATTCTTTCATTGCTGCCCTTCTGAGTCTCAGTCTTCTCTTGGTTTCTTTTTTTTTTTTAGATTTTATTTTTTTCCTTTTTCTCCACAAAGCCCCCTGGTACAAAGTTGTATATTCTTCGTTGTGGGTCCTTCTAGTTGTGGCATGTGGGACGCCGCCTCAGCATGGCCTGATGAGCAGTGCCATGTCCGCGCCCAGGATTCGAACCAACGAAACACTGGGTCACCTGCAGTGGAGCGCACGAACCTAACCACTCGGCTATGGGGCCAGCCCCTTTCTTGGTTTCTTGTCTGCAGTCTCTATTTACATTGATGACTGAACCAAGGTAAACAAAACCTTTAACAATTTCAACGTCTTCATTGTCTACATTAAAGTTGTGTAGTTCTTCTGTAGTCATGATTTTTGTCTTGTTGTTCAAATGATAAGCCAATAGTAGAGATAAAACAAACACTAAAAAATAACCAGATCAAAAGGAAATAAGCAAAATGAAAAAAATGAACAAAGAATAGATGAGACAAATAACAATATAGTGAACATAAACCCAAGAATATCAAAATTATATTAAATGTGAAGATTCCGAGGACTCCAATTAAAAGGCAAGGATTACAAGGCCAGATGTTTTTAGAAAGCAAGACTCAACTATTTGCTGCCTAGATGAAAGCACTTTAAATATAAAGACTCAGGATGAAAAAAGATATATTTTGCAGACACTGATCATACGGTTGTAGTGACCATATTAACATCAGGAGAAGTATAGCTCAGGAGAAGGAATAGTGCCATGCATAAAAAGGAACATTTCATAAGATAAGGTGGTCAATTCATCAATAATACGTAAAAGTCCAAAATGCGTATGCCCTTAATAACAGAACTTCAAAATGCATGAAGGAAAAACTGATAGACTTCAAGAAGAAATAGATAAAATTATAGCTGAAAATTTCAACATTCCTCTCTCAGTAACCAATAGAATAAGCAGATAGCAAATGAGAGGGCATATAGAAGAGTCAAACAGCACCATCAGTCAAGTCAAGCTAATTAACATCTACAGAACATTCCACCCCAAAACAGAAGAATGCACATTCTCTACAAATGCACACAAATGCTCAGCAAAATAATCCATAGGCTGCTAAAAAATATATCTCAAAGAATTTAAATGATAAAAATTATATAAAGTATATCTTCTAAACATAATGGAATTAAATAATCAGTCAATAACAAAAAAAAAATCTTGAAAATCCCCCCAAATTTGGAAATTAAGCAATATGTTTCCAAGTGATCCACGGGTCAAAGAGAGAAATTAGAAAATATTTTTAACTGAATGATGATGACAACTCAACATGAATTAAGATTTGGGGGTGAACCTAAAGCCATACGTACAGGGAAATTTGTAGTTTTAAATGCTTATATTATAAAAGAAGATAAGTGCAAAATAAATTATCTAAGCTTCAATCTTAGGAAGGTAGAAAAAGAAGAGTAAATTAAACCCAATATAATTGAATAAAACTACAAATACAATGGGGCCGGCCCGGTGGCGCAGCGGTTAAGTTCGCATGTTCCACTTTGGTGGCTGGGGGTTTGCCGGTTCGAATCCCGGGTGTGGACATGGTACCACTTGGCAGGCCATGCTGTGGTAGGCATCCCACATAGAAGTAGAAGAAGATGGGCACGGCTGTTAGCTCAGGGCCAGTCTTCCTCAGCAAAAAGAGGAGGATTGGCGGCAGATGTTAGCTCAGGGCTAATCTTCCTGAAAACAAAAACAAAAGCCAAAAAACTACAAATATAAGAATCAGCCCCATAGCTGAGTGGTTAATTTCATGTGTTCTGCTTTAGCAGCCCAGGGTTTCGCCGGTTCCGATTCTGGGCGCGGACCTACCACTGCTCCTCAGGCCATGCTGAGGCAGCATCCCACGTAGCATAGCCAGACTGAGGTACAACTAGAATATGCGGCTATGGACTGGGGAGCTTTGGGGAGAAGAAAATAAAATTGGCAACAGATGTTAGCTCAGGTGCCAATCTAAAAAGAAAAAAATACAAAAATAGAATCGTGTATTTAGTATAAATGGTGAACTTGACACCTGCCTCTGTATATGGCATTCCTCAGCCAACCCAGGAGACGACAGGCCTCTCTGCTTCTATAGTCATCAAGTGGGGATAGTTATTTTTGAAATTATTGATAAAAAACAAATTGAGATTCTCAGTGAAGAGCTTTTCATTACTGTCCTGTAGGGAGTTCAGGCATGCCCGCCTGCTTTCTCAAAATTTGTATATCTATTAAAAACGGGGATGGCAAGTAACTAATTTTATAGACCAATTAACCCGGCCTTTGAAATATTCTTCTAGTAATCAAATCTGAACAAAATTATGTGCCCATGTTTAGGTTAACCCAAAAAACCAACCAAAAAAAGAATTCTCATGTACAAAATTTTCTTTATTAAAATTGAAATGGTCATTAAACTGAGATTAAAGGGACCTCTTATGACAAAAATTGCCTTGCTCCAAACTAATCACTTCCATTTTAAGGTAATCCCCATTTTAAGGTAACCCTAAAAAAAAACCACACCTCCGCTTCAAGAATTCCATGGGGAATTCTGACCAGTGATCTGTCTCCCTTTGTCTGAAAGTGCCTGCTGAAGCTGCCCGTGACTGTGCAGCTTGGGGAGCAGATTTATTTCAGTTCACTTTGACTGGGTCAAAGGCCATGGCAGTTAAAATCCTTTGAGTTTCTAATTGTTCGCTTCCAGCCCAGGATGAAGTCAGTCTAGGTTTGCTAGCTTTCCTGTTGCTGGAAAGCAGTCTGCTGCAATAGCTGTGAGCTGACCACTATCCCCATCGCCATGGAGAAGGAGGAATGCAGCTTCTGCATAAGCGTCAACACCACCTGGTGTGCGGGCCATTGCTTGGCCTTGCTGAAGCGAGGGTGCTGAGAGTCCGGATGAGGCAACTTGCCTTAATTTCTACTTTACCAATATTTTAAGTTTCCCAAGTAACAGCCATGAATCCCTTAGCCAACACTGTCTGTGTTGTGATTGAGGTTAATTACCACGATATTCGTTTGGGTTTGGATTTAATTTAGGTAAAACAAAATTTGGGGCAGCTCAGATGGATGTAAATGAATGCTTCAGTAATGCGCCAATTTTGCATTTTAAAAGTATTTTTCTGCTAGCTTTACCTATTGAGGGATAAACATGGGCATGAGTACATATCTATATTTAATCATGGAATGCTGTCAATAGCCTCAAAAAGCCAATTGCAATAATAAAAGGCATGCCTCTGCAGTATGATAGCACAAAAATTCATTTAAAACCAAATAAAAATGCCAGCAGCCAATTATAAAATTTATTTTATTGGTCCACTGTAATACCAATGCCAACCAGCAGCCTGTGAACAGCCAATCCCTGTAGACTAGAACCAGAATGAACCAGCAAACCCACTTCCTTCTTCACACTCTTCAGAAAACCCAGGCATGGAGGCGTCCAGCCGCGTGTGTACACTCTCGCAGCCTCTACACAACAGGCCGGTTAAAGGGGAAAGTGTGTCTCCTTTGCCATTTTTCTGTGGCATCTGGCTGTGCAGGAGTTTGACAAACTGAAACTGAAAGAGCCTGCATTTTAAGGAATATGCTTTATTTGATATTAAATTAATTTGATCAATAAAACTCACCTTACTGCACTTTTGGTGGCATACAGACCTGGTGGCCAGTTAGGAAAATGAGTTAAACAGCAGTCCCTTCTCTCCCTTAAAACCAATTATTTTCTCATTGGGCAAGTCAAAGAGTGAAAAAGATTTGGCCTGAATTAAATGTTTTGATACTGAAACTGTATTATGTACTTTTGGGTTAAGAACCCTGCAAATATACAGAATTTAAGGCAGTGGCAATGAAGAACCCGAAAGGCAATAGAATGTCCAGAATCCGATATGAGACTTCCTTAACACTTTAGGCCAAGTATCAATAAGTCAGCTTATGACTGTTACTCCTCCTTCAAATATACATGGAAAAGAACACTTGGAAGTATTTTTCTGAGCAATTAAACCCAAGTCTTATGTGTTTTTTTCTATCATTAATATAGTTTCAGGTTAGTAAGAACCAAAGAAAAAGCCATCTTAAAATTCTAAAAGTCATACCTTCATCTTTATATTCTTTTATACTGTACAAATTCAAAGCTTTACAAGAAATATTAAATATGTAAGCACTATCACAGTGGGGAGGAAGGATGCAGTTTATTTTCTGTGGCCAAAAGGATGCAGTTACACTTTCTGTGACTTCCAGGACAGTTTAGAAAAGTGGGGTACCAGAAGAGCTCCTTTATGAGGTCAAGGTTCCTATGCTTATGGATCCTAGAAGCTGGTTTTCAGAGAGCAAATATTCCAGCAAGCAGTTCTATCCCTGTCACATTTTGATTAAGCCAAACAGAAACTTCCAGAATATTGTAACCTAAGGTTCTCCTTCCTAAACTCCTCAGGACCTGGTGTACAAGGACCCAGCCCGGCCCAACATCCAGAAAACATGCACCTTCAAGGAGCTGGTGTACGAGACAGTGAAAGTGCCTGGCTGTGCTCACCACGCAGACTCCCTGAACACGTACCCGGTGGCCACTGCCTGTCACTGTGGCAAATGTAATAGCGACAGCACTGACTGCACCGTGCGAGGTCTGGGGCCCAGCTACTGCTCCTTCGGTGACATGAAGGAATAAAGAGCGCTGACGCTGTGGGCTGCCTGCCCTTGTCCTGAAGGACCAAGTTACCCAAAATGTCTGTGTGTCCCATGTGCTCAGGCTGAAAACAGCTGTGGGAGCTCCTGCTGACCTCTGCTTTCCTGGCAGAGCGGGAGCTGCAGGAACTGAGGGCAGGGGCGGGAGCCCACCACCACTTAACCCTGTGTCCTAGGGCTGGGCTCTGTCAGTTTCATGCAACTGGAATTAAGTTGTTTCCCGTTTTGAATAGACTTAGAGGTCCTTTAGAGCATGCTCATGATTTTACAGATGAGAAACCTAGACTTGCGAGAAGGAGGTCTCAAGATGATTAGGTAGGAGAACTAAATGGAACACAATCTCCTAGTAGATGCATGGCCTGCAGGAGCACGGCCAATGCTGCTATATAGCATCATACAGCAGGTACCTAGCTCTATGTCTAGTTGTAGATTACTGAGGGGATAGTGAGGAAGCTGCGGCGACTGAGCCAAGACTGCCCACTTTTCTGCTGATCCACAGAGGTGGCGGCATCAGTTCCACCTTGTCTGTGTTTTCCTGGCAGAGAAGCTGTTGTTGACCTGTGCAGGTGGGAGCAGGGGAGGAGAATGGTAAGCCAGGAACAGGGCAACCATTCAGGATTTGCAGTCTGAAATACCAAATCTTAATTTTTATTTCAGATTTGAATTAAAAGCCAAGGCAAGAACTATTAATTTGGGCCTGTGGAAATTCAATGGTAAAACCACTAAATATCTTTTCCAGAATTGTTATCCCGTACATAGTCTATTGCTTAAAAAAGTTTGATCAAGAATTTCTAGTCTCCCACAAAACTCCCTCTCAGGCAATCAGACATCACCTGTCACTAGTTGCTGTGCCATCTCGACCAGAATCCTCCTCCTTTTGTGGGATGGGAACCTTAAAGTCCATGTGACAGCACATCAAGCAACTTAACAAGGTACCTTAAATTAGTTGTCAATTAACTTTTCACAGAAATAGTTCTCAAAAAGTGTTGGCAGTCTAGAGAGAAAAGCTGTGTTTTTTGGGCTCTCTGCATTTGCTTTGTCACTTGACTATATGTTCTCTCAAATCTATTCTTTTCAAAAGACTACACACTGAAAATGCTTCATGAATTAAATTGCTTTTAAAGATATTAACTCTTAGGATCTCCACTTTGAAACATACTTAAATCTCAACAATGTGATCTACCAAAGGCACGTTAGATTTTTTCACGTTCTTGAACTACTCACACGTGACACATACATGTGTATTTTCATAATATTAGTGGGAAATTATTAGAACTGTATTTTAAAATGCTTCTGTAGGGGCTGGCCCCGTGGCCGAGTGGTTAAGTTTGCGTGATCTGCTGCAGGCGGCCCAGTGTTTTGTTGGTTCGAATCCTGGGCATGGACATGGCACTGCTCATCAAACCACGCTGAGGCAGCGTCCCACATACCACAACTAGAAGGACCCACAACGAAGAATATACAACTATGTACTGGAGGGGCTTTGGGGAGAAAAAGGAAAAAATAAAATCTTTTAAAATGCTTCTGTAAATATTACCTGTGCTCATCATTCCCTTGGAAATATCAATAAGAATTCCAATGGATTTTAGTGGCCTTTTCCCCCTAAAATATACCCACCAAAATTGCTTCAGTGAAACTTTCTGTCATTTTCTGAAGTCATCACTTTCTTAATTTATCCCTATTGCTCCTCACCCCTCAGTCTACATTAAAATTGATTTATTATCGGAAACCCTTAGCATATCTTATTTGTCTGTAGCTCAGATTCAGTGGGAAGTCTTTTTTGGAATCTAGTTAAAAGCTCAAGCTAATATACTTTTGAGCACATGAATATCAAGGATTACTCTTCTCAATAGATGCATAAAAATCATTTGACAAAATTCAACACTCTTTTTTGATTAAAAAAAAAAACTTTCAACAAATTGGGTATAGAAGGAATGCACCTCAACATAATAAAGGCCATATATGACAAGTTTACAGCTCAACATCGTACTCAATGGTGAAAGGTTGAAAGCTTTTCCTCTAAGATCAGGAACAAGACAAGGATGTCCACTCTCACCACTCCTATTCGACACAGTACTGGAAGTCCTAACCAGAGCAATCAGTCAAGAAAAAGATATAAAAGTCATCCAAATCAGGAAAGATGAAGTGAAATTGTCTCAGTTTACAGATGACATGATCTCATGTAAGAAAACCCTAAAGACTGCACCCCAAAACTGTTAGAACTAATAAACGAATACAGTAAAGTTTCAGGATACAAAATCAACATGTAAAAGTCAGTTGTGTTTCTATAGACTAACAACAAACTATCTGAAAAAAAATAAAACAATCTCAGGGGCTGGCCCCATGACATAGTGGTTAAGTCCAGTGCACTCCACTTCGGCAGCCCAGGTTTATGGGTTCAGATCCTGGGCATGGACATACACCACTTGTCAGCCATGCTGTGGCGGTGACCCACATACAAAACAGAGGAAGACTGGCACAGATGTTAGCTCAGGGTAAATCTTCCTCAGCAAAAAATATAAAAATAAAACAATCTCATTCATAATAGCATCAAAAACAATAGAATACTTTGGATATGACACCACAACATAAACACATAACAACAAAAGCAAAAGTAAATAAGTGGGACTATATCAAACTAAAAAGTTTCTGCACAGCAAAATAAATTATCAATAGAATAAAGAGGCAACCTACAGAATGGAAGAAAATATTTGCAAACCACATATCTGATAAGAGGGTAATATCCAAAATATATGAGGAACTCACAAGACTCAATAGCAAAGACACAAATAATCTGATTAGAAAATGGGCAAAGGACCTAAACAGATATTTTTTCAAACAAGATATAAATGGCCAACAGGTATATGAAAGGTGTTGAACACCACTACTCATCAGAGAGATGCAAATCAAAACCACAATAAATATCCCCTCACACCTGTCAGAATGGCTATTATCAAAAAGGCAAGACCAAAGAGTGCTAGTGAGGATGGGGAGAAAAGGAAACTCTTGTGCACTGTTGGTGGGATTTAAATCAGTACAGCCACCATGGAAAACAGTATAGTGGTTCCTCAAAAAATTAAAGACAGAGCTACCATATGATCCAGCAATCCCACTTCTGGGTATATATCAGAAGGAAATAGAATCATTATCTCAAAGAGATATCTGAACTCTCATGTTCATTGCAGCATTATTTATAATAGCCAAGACATAGAAACAACTTTTCTGTAGACAGATGAATGGATAAATAAGATGTGTGTATATATATACATATGCGATGGAATATTATTCAGCCATAAAAAGGAAATCCTGCCATCTGAGACGACATGGATGGACCTGTAGGCATTAGGCTAAGTGAAACTAGAGACACAGAGTAAGACAAATACTGTATAATCTCACTTATATGTGGAATTAAAAAAAAAAATTGAACTCATAGAAACAAAGAGTAGATTGGTCATTGCCAAGAGCTGGGGGACAGAGGGAATGGGTAAGGTGGTCAAAGGGTACAAACTTCCAGTTATAAGATGAGTAAGTTCTGAGGGTCCGATGTACAGCATGGTGACTATAGTTAAATGTGTTGTATACTTGAAAGTTGCTAAGAGAGATCTTAAAAGTTCTCACCACAGAAATAAACAAACAAAAAGGTAACTATGTGAGGTGGTGGATGTTGATTAACCTTATTTGTGGTAATCATTTCACGATATAATACGCATATCAAATCATCACATTGCACACCTTAAACCTACACAGTGTTGGATGTCAATTATACCCCAATAAAGCTGGAAAAGAACTTAAAATAAATTATTTTAAAAAAAGGATTATTCTTTCCAAATGTTTTTTTTTCATCCAATTTGAAATTCTCAAATTGAGTACATATTAAATTGGTGGGTCTCTCATAATAATCATCTTCCTTGTTGTTCAAGAAGAGATGTGATTATATTTTTTTGATGGAACAAAGACGTAAGGACAAAATGAGAGTTGAATAGAATTGTGGAATGAGAGAGAATAGAAGCCTCCAGCTCAAAGCTGCCGTTTACTGGCTGTTAACACTGGGGCCCGAGATCACAAAGGCCGCAAGATGATCAGAACTACAACTCTGCACTCCTCATTTTTAGACTCTCTTTGGAATATTTCTCACTATGCCAAACACTTTGTCAACCAAACTAGCTGATTCAGGTGTGGCTAACTGTAAAGTGTAGACCACCACATACATCTGTATTTCTGCAACACTTTTATGCCAAACCACGCTGCAGCTCTGGTCATCAAAATAACGAGTTAGCGGCTCCCTGGATGCAGGGATCCTGTCTGCCTCACTCCCTCCTGTGTAAACCCTTGGCATTTTCGTGGTCTAATTGGATTGATTCAAACTGAACTGAGAATCTTTTCCCCTGCAATTTCTATCCAGTTTTGTCTCCTGGAACCATCCAAAACAAGATTAATCTCTTTCCTGCTTGAACACCACTCACATAAGGAGAGCAACTATGTTCTCATCGTCAGCCTGAAGATTAGCAGTTCATTCGATTGTCCTTTGAATAATCCAGTGTCCAGACAGGCCCTTCCATGGTCCTGATCAATATTCTTTTGTATGTTAAGGACTTGTGTAAAGTGTGGGGATTCATAAAGGGCAAAATAGACCCAGACAGAAGACAGTAAATAACCACAAACAACAGATGTGAATGGAAGGTCTTCGAAGACCGTGGATACATGACGATGAAGTCCTGAGCTCCTGGCTGGATGCCTGATGGGTACGAGGCTCTAATGACCTGGTCAGCACTCTGTCTTACTATTCTCTGAGCACTACGGGTCTGTGTAGTCAGCCTGTGGTCAAACACCACTCCTTTTCAAGTGAACCTGAAGTGATTGTTTTTACTTACTGAGGTTTGAACCGTTAAGACAAAGCCTTTTGCCTATTTCAAAGATAAGCATTCTTCTTTGCACCTGGTGTTACTACCTACCAACGAAACTCAGTCAGCTTACTGAGTTTGGACTTTATATCATTTATTCCTTGCAT